TATGTGTGAAAGAGCCACGTGTGGCTCCCGAGCCAATGGCCACCCCTGCCCTAGGGAAAGCAAGACACGCGTGGGAGCGACTGAGCCCGACACCACCCTCTCTCCTTCTCAGTTCTAACCTGCCAGGTTGCTTCCCTACCTCTGCTTCCCCCCACCCCTGCACGACAGAAGCAGACTTCCCTTTCTTGGTGGCAGGTCTTTTCTTCACGGAGACAACCGGCCCTCCCCCCCGGTGGCTGTCACTCGGTCAAAACGGGGTGCAATCCCTGGTGGTGGAGGTGTCCTATGAGCAGGGTCTGAAGAAGGGATGGGGGTCTGTGTGCAGTGTGGGAAGGAGAGAGGCTGGGGGGCAGGGGCGGTGCACGGCGTGGATTCGGTTTCTGGCGGCCCTCCCCAGAGGTCCAAGGAGGAGTGTGTGGGAATGGGCCTAGAGAAAGGTGTTGCCTTTACGGTAGAAGCTGGGGGAAAGGGGGGGGGAAGGGTTCGGCACAGAAGGGGAGACTCTTGGTGTAATTAACTTCTCTCTTTCCTCCCCCCCACAGTGGATGTACATAATCCCGATCGTCCTCTTCCTGATGATGTCTGGCGCGCCTGATGCAGGGGGGCAGGGAGGGGGGAATGGGGGCAGTGCCGGAGGAGGGGGGCGATGAGGGGCGCGTTGTCTCTTCTCCCATGTTGGGAGGAGGAGTGGTGTAAATAAATTATTGGAGGAACGTCATCCCTCGCCTGGTTTCTGACTGGTGCAAGTCGGGTTATTTCTAAAGCCTACATGATGTTGTCGTTCAGTCACACAGTCGAGTCCGACTCTTCGCGACCCCATGGACCAGATCACGCCAGGCCTTCCTGCCTTCAGCCTACACGTAGGGATGTTTTTATGTCCCTTGAAAATATGAGGGAACTGGGTTTTTGGTAAGCCTGATAAGTAAAGGGTAAAGGCTTCCCTTGCTCGAAAGCCAGTCGAGTCCGACTCTAGGGGTGCAGTGCTCACCTCCATTTGCAAGCTGAAGAGCCAGCGCTGTCCGAAGACATTTCCGTGGTCATGTGGTCGGCATGACTAGACGCCGAGGCGCACGGAACGCTGTTACCTTCCCACCGAAGGGGTACCTATTTATCTACTTGCAGTTTCTTGCTTTCGAACTGCTAGGTTGGCAGGAGCTGGGAGCAAGGACGGGAGCTCACACCGTCATGCGGCACTCGGGTCTCGAACTGCTGAACTACTGACCTTCTGGCCTGCAGTTCAGCGTCTTTTTTTTTTTTAACTGCCCCCAAAGGGGCAGGGTTTTATTAAATTTTTCACATAACATACACAAACAATCATAACATATACATACATACTAACATACAAACAGATACATGGGGGTTCTTTTCATTATACTGCTGCCTAATCCACCTTAATAACAATTTCTCATGAACTGTGTAAGCAACTTTTCTGTCTCTACCTAACAGGTAGTAAACTCTTAGTCTTTCATGTAGTAAACTCTTAGTCTGTCTCTTGCAAGCTTGCCTGCAGTTCAGCGTCTTCACCACTGAGCCACCCCAGCCCCAAGCCTGATAAAGGGGAGTGTAATCTTGTTCTAGACCCCCCCCCCCCCCGGGGGAGTATTCACATCCAAGGGCTTGTTGACATGCAGTAGTTAACTCTGCCTTTCCAGAGGGTGTGTACCAGAGCGCAGTCTTGACAAGGGGATACATGGAGCTGAGCTCTATACTGCTCATTTTTTTAGGGGGTCTATGCAGGCAGAGATGGGGTGGTCTCTCCTTAATGCTCCTGTCAAGGGTACTTTAATGCACCCTGACCTGGATAGCCCAGGCAAACCCAATCTCGTCAGATCTTGGACACTAAGCAGGGCCTACCCTGGCAAGTAACTGAAAAGGAGACCTCTGAGGAATACCAGGGCTCAGGACGTGGACGCAGGCTATTAAGCCACCTCTCTGAAAACCTCCAAACCCCACTAGGGGTCGCCAGAAGTCGCCATGACTTCCAGGCATGCAAGCACGCACATGCACACACAGACAATACCCACCAAAAAAAGAGTAATTTTGGATGCTATTTGTTGCAGGATAGATTTAAGTCCCTCTGCCTTTCTTAGGGGGAGGCCGTCTTCCTTGGCTCCCTTTATGGGGGGCTGTTTAATCTCATTCTTCACTCCTTCCAGCTGAGCTTTAGGAAGCAGCAGCTGGAGGATTGCTCCTTTCAGGAATCTCCTAGTTTGGGACTCCCCAGTGTGGCGCCTGGACACCCAGCAGTATTTCCTTTAGTTCCCACCGAGCTTTTCAGAAAGTCGACGGTGTCATTGCAAGGCAAGGCTTGTTATTTGCTCCCCTATTTCAAATGGAAGGAGTTTCCAGTGGAGGGTCGGGAGGACTGGTAAGCATGCGAACTTTCCTTAGAATGGTTCCCCCCCCCCCTTCAAGCATTTCTTCCCAAGTGTGAAAAGTCTGGCTTCATCTGTGGAAGCTGGGGGGTTTTTGTGTGTGGGGGGGTTGCTCACCAACTCAAAATTTCAAATGTGCCCTCACGTCCAAAAGATCGGGAGACAGCTGCTCAAAAGTTTGTGCTGGTACTGGAGACCTGTTCATCAGGGAAGAGGCTTTTTCCTAACTGCCACGGTCTACATAAAAGATTTTTCTACTCTCATTAGGAAGTTACCCTGCCTTTCTTCCCAACAGGGACCCCAAACTGCTTAACATCATTCTCCTCTCCTCCATTTTATCCTTCTGACAACCTTATGAGGTAGGTTAAGGCAAGTGTGTGTGATTGGCCCAAGGTCACCCAGCAAGCTTCCCTGGCAGGGTGAAGATTCGAACCTGGGACTCCCAGATCCTAGTCTGACAATCAAACCACGACGCCGTACTGGCTCTCAGCTCTCTTAAAACTCTTAAATAAAACTCGTAAATCCCCCCCATCCTTCCTTTGGGGATACCCATCGAAACCACAGAAACACAGCAGTTGAAAAGACCCCAGAGGAAACGATGTGCCCCCATACTTCTTAACAAGTTGTGTAGTTGCTTGGCATTAGGGGATATCAATGAGAGTGGGAGATGCCAGCCGTATCCCATTATTGAAAAGATGTGTTGTATAAGCAGGACACCCTGGGGGGGGGATGTTTCCCCCAGCTGTTGCAACATAAACACACTGTCTCCAGAAGATGGGAACTACCTACCTGTTGCAACTCAGGCTCTGAGTGGGTCCCCCACAGTCAATCGTGTCTCTCCAAGTGAGGGGACTATATTTTCTGGTTTCGCCCAGCTTGCCTCACTGTAGCTCTCTGGAACCTCCGTATCCACAGCAACCACAAAGGAATAGAACCCAGTAGCAGGAGTGCTGAAAGATGTGAGAACGTGTGGGGCTTGGAAGCCAGACCCGGAGTTGTTGTTCTCCAAGAGAGGAGGGCTTAACTGTTGGGCAAAGAGTCAAGACTTCTGGGAATTTAGGGAAGGAAGGAGATGGGCCAGTCAGCATGGAATCTGGCAGAGGCAGGAACAAGAAATCCTGGCTATGTTGAGATGTTAGTGGCATAAATCAAAAGACTGGACTGCACGTTTATTTGAGTTGGGGTGGGGGTGGGGGCTGCATCTATAGGAGAGTAGCCCTGCTTGAGAATTACTATAACCCCACCACAGGTGCTGTGTAGCCACTTTGAAAACAAATTGTGGCCCAATGATCCTCAGGAATCGGGGCATTTTCTGTTTGCATTGTGTAATTCTGCCATCAGGATTCAGAACTTGGGGGGGGGCTTAAAAGAGGAATCGGCAGCTTGTAGGGGTCACAGGGAGAGACTACAGAGCTGTGCAAGCTGTCCAAGCCATGTCCAGGCTCTGTGAATTCTGAGATTTACCCTACCCTGCCACTCACAGGGTTTTCATCTTTTTTTGGCGGTTACAAGACCTAGAAACTTCATTTTGTCGTATTTCTGTCAAAAGGCAAATCAAGCCATTCACTGTGCCGATTCTGACATTATGCAGCTATTCCTGCAGCATCTGCTGCTGAAGTTGGTTACCATTGGTCCCTGCCACATGGCAGGGAAAAGGATAACTGAACCACGGCTAATCAGAGCCGCACCAAAGCTGAGACGCTGCGGCGGGATCCCACGGATCCCCCTAGCTGCGGCGCGGCGCTCCCCGGCACGATCAGATGCCGGGGAGGAAGAGTCTGATGAGAGGGGGAGGCTGACGAACTGCGCATACTCGAGCATGCGCAGTATGGCTGGGGGCCAGGATGCGCTGGCGCAAGGACGCGCCGGCCGCTCCCACGGCCCGGCTTGAGGCGCTGTACTGGATACAACCACCTAGGTAGGTGGTTCTTTTTTAGTGCGCATTATCGGAGGTTGAGACGGATCTGGGACGGGCAGGCAACGATTCCCAGATGTTGCCGTGGGATCGCGCCCGTTTCCTCCGCCCCCGTTCCGTCCCCCTCCCGGCCCAAACCGCCTCGTATGAACAGGGCCATTCTTGCTCTCTTGCATTTTCCAGGCTGCTACACTGGCCAGGTGGGGTGGGATCGCTGTTTAATATTTCCTCAGCTGCTCTCTGCAATCCCCTTTCATATATTGGGCAAGATGGCCAGGGTGCTCTGAGGACCTCTGGTTATGAGCTGTTACTGACTTGGGTTCTAATCTCTTGTTAAACATTTAGGCTCGAGGCAATGCTGCTGCTTTGCACCAGGTGAGATCTGACCATCTTAAGCCTCCAAACAGTAACAATCCTGGCTTGTGTCTGTCTCTTATGCTGTTCCTTGGGAAAAAAACAGTCCTGGCCTAGGCCCCATTATGCTTCCACATCTTACTGCAGATTTTCAGAGCAGTAAGCCTTTAATCTTGATTTTGGATTCCGTGCCTGTTTTATGCACCATTCTTTTCCCTCTGGTGTATTTATTCTGCCGCTACAATTAAAAAAAACAACACTTTTCTAAATTGGGGCGGCACCTCGCTTATGATGTGTGGGGGGAGTGTCCAATTTTTTTTTAAAAAAAAATGCAGTTACCCTAGCGCAGCTGTGCAGTAGCTTCAATTTAAATCCTTGAGGTTCAGGTTTTTCACATGCATTTTAGCCTTAGTTGGTTGAATCAAAGGGAACAGAGGGGAATGCAGGCAACCAGGGAAAACTGATGTTGAAATTGACAAGACTTTTTTTTTTTAAAGCAGCTGTGAAGCCCTATTTCCCATACTGTGAAGCACTAGGGGATTCTCTGCTGTGTTATCAGCCACTGTGAACAATGAGAGTCACACAATCTCATAATATGGGGAAACAGGAAGAGTGTACAGAATGCGGTAGAACCCACTGACACTGGCATTGCAAGCTATGATCATTGGCAAAGTGTGTGGGAGTCCGGGCGCCTGTGCAAAATCAGCTGCAACTCCACGATGCTTTTCACAGGGCTGCAATTTGTATGGGGGAGGAGTCCTCTGGCAGAAGCTTTGGGGAGCTTTTTTTTTAGTCTTGTGCCACTAAATTGATTTTTTAAAAGGGGGGTATTTTTACCATGCCCTAGCACAGCTGCATAGTAACACTAATTTCCTGCACTTCCTTTCAAATTTGTGTGGTTTTCTCTTTGTGATTCTCTGACTTGATCCTGCACACTAGTTGTGATCTTTGCAGTTTTTTAAAGCCTGTTCTGTGCAGATTACACTCTTCCTCCAAATGGACCGATCCCAAGTGGTTCTGA